AACAACGTCGGCCAAACTCTGTAGCTAACCAGTAAGAGGCGTAAACTCGGCGGTCACGATGGACCCCTCAGTGAATTATCCAAATAGGAGCATCCCCTGAGAATGTCCACCGACGACACAGTAAAACCTTCTTCGCACGTAGTCCACTTCTCTGCCAGTCTTGGAGGTGTTTCGTCATGAGGCAGCCGTGGGCTGAGATGCGATGACTCTTCTGGTTGCACCACGGATATTTGCGACAGCCGTCGATGGATTATGCCCTTACAGTAATTCGTGATAGATGATAGCTCCCAGACAGCTTCGGACGGCAGTTGAAGGTTGAAGTCATTTTTGCGAAGCTCTTCCAAGGGGATGCTTATATATCCTTTTAAAAATACAGGTTAGGGATCGGTCTACCATAACCCATTACGAAGTCCTTCCGAGCGGTCCTACGAAAAAATTTAGACAAGGACGAAAAGTCGATCAAAACTTTTTACTCAACCTAATACGTTACATATACTATTGCGCTGTTATAACCTATTACAGGCCCTCGATGAACAGCTAGAAATGAAGCGACGGCATGGTCAAAACAGATGTGTGCTAGAGAACATCCTTCCAAGCCATGTGGCTAAACACTTCCTCGAGGATAAGGTCAGCAGCAAATCGAAGGATCTTTATCATGAGGTTCGTTCCGGATATCGGTTTTCCTAGGAAGGAACAAGGACCCGACTTCCTGCTCTGCCGTTGTGGTTTCTTTCCAATCCACTAGGCAGTTTTTGTAAAACTGGAAGCCCAAGGTTAATGCATAGAGTTACGGGGCCTCAAATTACTCGGTTGTACATATATCTATCTGATGACTGGTCACCCAATCTTTGATATGGTCGTCATGTATTCTCCTTCCAGGCTAGGGACTACGCCTGCATCATCTTCATTACAATCACCGACTTCAGTCGTTTCTACATGGAATTGGATGCAAACAACGAAGGCGTCGAATGTCTACGACTCCTGAACGAGATCATATCAGATTTTGACGAGGTAAATAATTACAACTGTAAGATCGAATAGTTTCCTTTTTTTTTTTGAAGAACTTTAAGAAATATTGGAATATGGATCCTTTCACAAATAGTGTACATAATGTCACCCGCGTAATGTTAGGAACCAAAATGGGACGAACACGGTTTTCCCATAATGTTAGCAGGATATGTTGAAATTAATGGGAAATAACAATTTTTTATATTTCTACAGAAGAAATAGAACTAGAAAACTTCAGAACAAACAGTTCATAAAAGGGGAAAAGAGTTTGTAACAAGTTATGCACAGGTACAATTGCAACTCTTCGGAGTTCCTGTTGGAGAGCGTAGAATAAAATGTTCCATACTGTAGAGAGACGGGCTCGAGTACGAGTTGAGAGCGGCCATTTCCTTGAAACCGCCGATCGGTAACACGCTTGCATTCCTGGCAGAACCTACATTTGAATGGTTAACTCCAAATAGTTCAATTAAGATAAAGAGTTAGACAAAGAGGACGTTGCCAGGGTAGCATGAGTAGGGAGAGGTTCGGCTCCCGTCAGAGGCTCAGGATTTGCCCATAACTTGCCATTCCAGTGAGACCAACATATAGGTCTCGTTCCAAATCATCATATTTGTGACTTACGAGTTCTACCGGCAGCTCTTAGGAGGAGCATGGGCTTATATATACATAGGTGAGCGCGTCACCTACGTATGAGCGTTTGAGCGATTCTACCCAGCAGGGCATACGGCTTATGGCTTTGTCTCATCACAAGTTCTTGAAGAAAGATGTTATAAGAATTCGAAGTAAGCGTATAGTGGAGTTCGTCCAGCTCCTTCCAGCCAGGAAATATGAGTTCGAATGTGATTTTTGTCCGTTTTTCTCAGAACAACTGCATCAGAGTATAATCTATTCTGCTCTCTCTTTCCCCTGCACGCACACCAACGCTCCCGAAATCACCTTGAAACGCGGATCATCTACTTGTCACTTATTCTCGTCTGCTTCCTTTGGTTCCTTCATAGATGAAGGGCTATTGGATAACTCCACCTTCATCTTTATCCAACTTGTTTACTCAACTTGGGATCACTGTTGGCTGCCCTTATTCTTAATTAGTTTATTTTGGTGACTATCCGTGATTAAGAATTGTATCATGTATCATTCATTTAAACACTTCACTATTCGAACCTGAGAATTTTGTTTCAGCTCTTAGATAGAGAAGAATTCAAATGTATAGAGAAAATCAAGACGATCTCTACGACATACATGGCAGCTAGTGGACTTGCTGGAAAGGTAAATTTCCTTTGGGATCGATTTTGTGTTGAACCTCTTAAGGACGTCCTTGGTGGACTTTCGACCTTCTTGAGTTTCTAAAAAGTGTTGAAATGAAAATTCAATGTTCAGATCGAAGGAAATGCACATGTGGTAGCTGTGGCTAACTTTGCACTGCAGCTCCTCGCCAAAATCAAAGTCATCAATGAGCACAGCTTCAACAATTTCGATCTCCGAATAGGTTCGTTTGAATGGAAGATTTTTTTCAGAAACTATTAGTATGCTCGACACAGTAAATACATATAGAAAGTCTATAATGACATAGCCAATTCCTGCTTGAGGGTTAAACTGCAAAACCTGAGGTTGTCGCAGCTTTTCGAGGTGAGGTTGTCGTAGTTTCGAGGTGAGGTTGTCGTAGCTTCTGCGTTCCTTTGGAATGGATGTCTAGTCTGTTTAATGTTGGCAATGTGCCAAGTCATACCACTGCCCTCGATGCGGTGAATAAGAGGGGTCAACGGAGAACGTCCGTTGCGCGCGTCCGTCGAAAGTAGGTCATCACGCCCATATCGCGCGGCGCGCCCCACTGAGGTCTCAGGATGACATTACAGTACCAAGTGTAAGTGGAGCAAACGTTTGCATTTGTCCGTGTTTTCTTCTCTTTGGCTGACTGCCGTGGACCAAGCGCAAATCGTGTGTCCCACTGACAACTGCAACGTCTCTCAAGTATCGCGGGCTGACTCGCCGCATACGACGGCTGCAGCTTGACCTAGTTTCGACGGGCGCGTGCAACGAAGCGCACCCGGGGTCAACTTACTAGATGATGAACCGCTCAGATGAATCGTATTGTTTAAAAGTTTCCATGATGGAAGAAGCGTTTGGATAAAACTGAAGCTTGTTTGCGGATCTCCCGGGCCACATTCATCTTCTCTCATCCTTTTACCCGAACAAAGCCATCCAATATTTTAGAGGAGGTGATAATGGAAAAAGTAAACTCGATGGAGTACCTCACAGTTAACTATTCGCAGAAATGTAACCAAACTGAGATCCATGCAATTTGATAGCTTTAGATTCCGAGAATATGGTCGCAGCATGTCGCATCCTTGATATAGAATTTCTACAAAAGCACTTTTCTCGGGAACTGTTTTTGACTAAATTTTATTTTACAGGAATCAATACTGGCCCAGTGGTTGCTGGTGTAATTGGACTGATGAAACCACACTATGATATTTGGGGTAATTCGGTAAATGTCGCAAGTCGTATGGATTCCTCAGGAGTACCTGGGAAAATACAGGTTTGATTATACACGATTTTATCGTTAATTTTACTAGCCACCTCCTGATTCATTGGCTATCTGACCATGAGATTAATGACGGGGAAGTGGGTAAGGCGTCATGAGCAGGACTCCCACAGCAAATTCCTGTTAGAGTGTAGGAAGAATTGTCTCTGCGGGTGTTCTCGCAGTCCAGTACAGAAAATCAACCTAATGTGGCATGCCAAACTTTGAGGACCGTTCTATTGTCTCTAGCTTGCTTCTCGGAAAGTTTATTTTGGTGTGTAGTGTACCGATAACGTATTGTTTGGCCCTTTCCCAATTTACAAACAACCTCCGGAGTGGACCTCACGACGATGTCTCTCTTGACCTTCCAACATATTAACCCTAATGGGAGGAAAACCGAATATATTGGTTTGAAGGATCGTTTTGCTTGTTGGTGGCAGCAGACTATGCTCCTGCATCAGTGCCTATTGGCCCTACGATCTTTCGCCATTTGGTATGACTTCGATAGTAATTTCAGATGGCTATCCATTTTTTCCAGGTGACCGAAGAAACAAAAAGCATTTTGGAAAAGGAAGGTTTCGAATTTGAATGTCGTGGAGAGATCAATGTGAAAGGCAAAGGACTGATGACCACGTACTTCTTGAAAACAGCTCCTGATCAAGAGGAATTATTCATTTGAACCGTCGATAGCATTAATTTCTATCGCTGAAGCAGCTGCTAACATTAAACTATTGAGGTGTACTCGATTAGGTGCTACTTACATATACATATGTATGCTTGCTTTTCCTACAGTATGCCACGGTACAGATGTGCTTTACTTTAGGCACGGTGTAGTAACCATTTACAGTTTACTGTAAATGAAATCGATGAGCTAGTGGGGTTGAAAATGGGTTACAGTAAGTCTACCGTATCTTCCAACTTTCATAGCCTTAACGTCTCAACGGATATCCCAGGGTTCGTACTGATATGGAAGTTATATCGTTTTTGCAAAGGCTTGTTCAACAAAAGATGAGGGGATTTCGACCAATTAACGGGCGGTGGGCGTGGCTTCCCGTCGCCTTAGGTGGGCGTGGTTTCTCACGTGACCGATTTGTCTTTTCTGTACCATTACATACCGTCATGGAAAACGATAATAATCTAATTGCTGTGATACACTAGTGTTAAATTTTTTTCCTTCTCTTCCTCTACAGCTGTGGCCTCGACAGTATCGTTCTTATGAACTCAAAGAGTTCCCCTTGCGGATTTCGTTGTGAATCATTGGAATTGCTGGAATTGCACGGGTTTCGCCTTTGATTTGTGATCTGTTGCGATTTATATGTGTAACTGTGTCTGTGTGTATTTCTTATTGTCTCTCGTTCTGCTTGTTTGTTGGAGTGGCTTGTTCCATGAAGGGTCGGTTCGCCCAACAACTAGGAATGATGCTTTAATCTCTCTCGGTGTTCGCTGCATTTAATAATAATGATTGTTTACAAATTTGTTTTCTTCGTATAATAAAGAAAGTAAAGTAAATGTCTGCCGTGAAACAATCAAAAAACAGCGCTAGCCCAGCTCAAGATGAGTGAAGAGCGCCCGCGGTGGTACCAGAAAACAGTTGAGATCGAGGTCTAAAGAAAGCGATTGCAGGGAGCGCAATGCGAAAACCATACTTCAAATAGAAGAGATATGTATCCTGTGAATTCTGTTCGTAATTATTACCTCTGAAACTACTGGGTAGGCTACATACATACCATACAGAACTACTCATAAGGAGTGGAACACCGAGATCATCTCTTACATCTCAACCAAACTATCTTCTGTGTTCTACGTCGTACATATAGTGAGAGCCATCAATTGAATAGTAATGGCAGACTTCTGAGCAATTGGACAGTNTCGTACATATGTACAGTGAGAGCCATCAAACTGAATAGTAATGGCAGTCTTCTGAGCAATTGGACAGTGATAGCAGCCTTCGAGCTATGGATGATCTGAACTATCCAGAACAATCCGTAGAACCCAACAACTCTCTTGAAATGTGAAATGGATATCTCTTCCATGAAGCTATACGTTTAGAACCTACTCCAAGAAACCGCCACTCAATTCGAAATGAGCAGCTTGGAATTTCTACGAGTGAACATAAGAGAAAACTCATAGATTTTATCCACTGGATGCGATAAACTATTGAAGGCTGTAGTTCCAAACGACTATTATATCAAAAGAGTTGAAACTCGTACTCAAAAACATTTGGAAATGGGTTGGGAATCGATGTGTGTGGCGCATCCTATAGAGTTAGACAAGAGCCGAACATTTTCTAGTCGCTACTGGTTTTCGTCATAATGGAAAAATGGTTTCAAAAGCAGTGGGTATATTTAATATCTTACAAAAGTTGAAGATGTGGTTCAACCAAAAAACGAACCTGTGATGACCTTGCCTTATTTTTAATACTGCCATTATTTTTTACATTTACACGTCCATTTTCGATATTAGGCTGCCTTAAAAGGGAACTGATAAGAAACCCCTTTCAAAAATCAAACGGTTGCTTAATATCAAGATAGATGATAAATTGTTTGAATTCCTCTCTAAAAGGTTAGAAGATTTTGAATGAGGGCTCGATCACGAGAGGGTTGGTCACGGAACAGTCAAAAAATCGATAAGATCCTTGCGACCTCCCATGATTATCGATTCGATGTTCTTTGCGCTATCATTACTGCCCTTTTATTATATTATTTACTAGTATTAGTTTCTAGTATATTCGACGTTGTTGTTGTTTACTCCCAAAATTGTTTATGCTCCCTCGCTAATTCGACATGGACAAACTGCCTAATAGGCAATGATAAATGATACCATCTTTGCCGTCTATCCATCGACCGTTCAACCTATCACTGCTGCCGTCTTCGCTCATTAACGATGCCAATCTGTCAATTCTCTGCC